ATCAATCTTAGAGCCATCCCAAGCCACAGGTGCATCCAGAATTTAATAAAAGGTTGCAGCACAGTGATTATCAAATTGTAATGTTTGATACTGCCTGAGCTCAGGGAGACAAACCTTTAAAAGCAGGATTTGCCATTTGTTCAGGTAAGTGCCAGCACGTTCCCAGAACCTGGTCAGGTTTCTGCCCTTGATCTTGTCAGTGCAAATCTTGATTATTTCCCTTGTAGGTGTGTTGGTGCAGCACTTTCAGGACTAGTTAAGCAGTGGAGGGGTTGGTTGACACTGAGTGTGGGTGACAGAGTCTTTTCAGATATTTTGTGTTCAAGAAGTGAAGTTCTGTCTCTAAATAGAACTGTAGCTTATTGTTTCCTCCTTTCTGAACCCTCATGGCAGAGTTTGGAATGATCTGCATGTTCAGCCACGTGTGCCACTTGTTGCTGCAGAAAAGTTCACTTGTAGGACATGAAAAGTAATTGTGTTTGTCCTCTGACAGCCCTGCAAAACATGAGAGGTGGTTTACAGGCATCAAAAGGTGTATTCTGATAAAATTACTTTCTGGAATATTTAATTGTTGAGGGAAATAGCTCTCAGGTCACTTTATTAACATCAGTGGTGAGAGAAAAAAGAAATAAAACCAAATCTGCCTTGTCATTGACAATTTCAATTTCATTATATTTTCTTTATGTTCAAAATCCTCTTTGCCTAATATTCAAAAAAAGTTTCCAAAGTACAGCAGATGGTTTTCTTCAGCTTATTCTAAATGTTTATTTGCAGCATATTTTTTTTTAAATCCTGCTGTCATTTTTTTTTAAATGCCTTTTGTCATTCCATAGGAACCTGGGAAGAGGGGAAGATATTAAAGGCAAAACCTGTGTTTTTTAAAATGTACAGGAATTGTACATTTGTAAATTGTAATTGCACATTTATAAATTGTACATTTACGCTGTACATGTTGATGTGAGAAGCTGAAAAAAATAGGAAGAAAATCTCATTTCTAGAAAAATGAGTAAGAGAAAAAGGACTTCACATGTGGATGGGATGGGACAGTTCATTGAAATGGTTCTGGACTTTTAGGCACAGGAATGATGAGGATCCTGGCTCATAACATGTACCTTTCAATTTTTATCTCCTTTTCTCTCTTTAAAGTTTGACGGGGGAATTTAATGTATATTTAAAACAAAAATGACATTAAATGAGCTTTCCAGTTTTCTATTTCAGGAGCTTTCTTTATTCAAGAAGGTTTCCCTTATTTCTTTCTGGTAAGGTGTTGGCTTGAGATATGTAACAAATAGCAACTATTTGCATTCTGGTTTAGAATGGCAAATATTGTCCTGTATTCATCCTGGAGAGAGGAACTATGTATTTATGCACCTCAAGATAAGACCTTTCTAAATGCTAAAAGCAGTAAACATAGTTTAAAAGACTTCACTGTGTTTGCAGAGTTATCAGCATATCTCCTTTTTTGTCAGTATTCATGGGATTGCTTATGTAGAATGGAAAGTTCAGAATTGAGTGCAACTTTCAGAAGTAGTAAAAAAGCCATTTGTAAGGATTTTTTGCTGTCAGTCACGCAGAGCTTTTAGCACAAGAAAAATAAATTGCAGCTTCCTTGAGAAGGTGATATAAACCTGTGGTTTTGTTGTGTCACAGAGGGATTATTGTGAGAAGGACAGGGATCCCTCAGCCAAGCTGTGATTTCTCTGGGTGAAATTGCTGTGTTCTTAAGCAGTACATGAAATGTCAGGGGGACAGCAGGAGCCAGGAAATGAATATCATACTTCACACAAACCACAGGGCACAGCAATGGGCTGTTGCAGTGGGATAATCTCCAAAGGAAACCACCAGCCCCACAAAATATCAACAAGTTGTGGCAGCGCCTCACGTGCACCCCAGTTCTCCTCTCTGCTCCTCCCCTTGGTTTGTCCCCACTCCCTCTGTCTGGAACAATCAAAACATAAATATAATAAATGTACTTCCTTACCCAGGATTGCCCAGGATGGGAGGGGATAAATTGTTTTGTGGCTGGGGTGGCTTGGCCACAGATCTCAGTGGGTTACTCTACTTAAGGAGCTTGAGACCCGGCAATACCTTCTGAGAGGATTTAATTGAGTGATCACACCGTGACACACCGACATTCCTGCAAAATCCCACGGCAAAGAATGACTTGGAACTGCAGTTCTGTGTCATACACGTTATGCTGCTCCTGTCTTCATTCACTCACTTCTCAAACGTGACAGAAGACACAGCTGCTGGTCTAGAAATTACAAGTTTCAGGGACTGGGGGAAGGGGATGGGAAGAAATCAGTCACACAAATAGGATGATAATTCACTCCATTAAGATACATAAACTTAAATAAAAATCACTGTTAAAACTTTGAGATAATTGTCAGGTCTTCACAGACTAACAATAGTCAGCTCATTAGTTTCATGAGTGTTATTTGACCCATAATATTAAATTAATGTGTTTTACTGTTTATTAATTAAACATTAACTTGAGGACTGTCATTATTTTAAATAGAAACACTCCATCTTTGTCTCCACTTTTATAGTGATGAGCATACTATTAAAGATTATAATCCCTCTGGTATGAGGATCACTTTATGGAGTTCTCAGAAATAACCCAGGATATGTTCATGTCCCTGTGTCCAGCCTTTATGCAGTAGTATTCTCAGCTGTATAGCTTGGGCTGCTCGAGTTTTTATCTAGGATAACTGAAGTATTTCACCAAGATAACTCCAATTTTACTGCCTGGTACCCTGCCCTGCTGGTATCTGCACTGCTCAACATAATGCTTCTCTTAGCAGTGTCCCTGTATTGAGTTATTTGTCATTTCATTTGATAATTTTTCATCAGTATGCTTGGCATAAAAATGTGCTAATGAAATTTGATAAAAATGTAAAGCTGGGAGGAATTGCTAACGTAGGAGAGCCGGGTATGTTATCCAGGAAAAGATGGATGGTCTAGCAGATGGAAATAAAAGTGAATTAATGTTAGTAATACCAAGTAAAAGGTCATGCTTCTAGGAACTGACTGGAATTCAACTGCTGAACAGGGATTTATCAGACAATAACTTGAGAAGAAAGATAAGGGCATAAAATGTCCAGTGGTCCAGCTGTCCAGTGGATGATTGTAAAGCAACAGGAAAGTACAGCTGTGTAAAAGAGAAATACAGCCTTTGGACATGTAAGGTGAATTATTAAAATAGAAGAGTAATTGCCTTGCAAGGCATTAGTGAGTCCTGGGCTGGAATAGTCACACTGTTCAGCTCTATTCACATTACTTGCACAGCTGATGGAGAGAGACAGGCACCTCTGACAGATGGTTTAGAGCAGGATTTATGGCAGCTCCAGGAAACTCCACTCCAAATTCTGGAGGTTTAAGTTAAGCTAGGTTTGGGTACATCCTCTACAATACATGCTTTTAGTCATTTGCCTCCAGGAAATAATTAAATTATTGTAAGTAGAGTGTAACCCTACTGAGTTTATTAGTAGAAGGACTTTCTTGTGAGGGGACGCTTCCAGAATGACCTAATGGAATGTTGGCAGGGAATGGATGTGGTGACTTTATGTGAGGTTCTTGTTGGGAAGGAAAAATAACTGCTAACACTAAATAGTGTCAATGAAGAGGAATAAAATAAAAGGTGATAGGTTGTTTGTAAATAAATGGAATTTAAATAAGTTAACTTCTGCTTGTGTGAGAGAAATTCTTGAACAGCTTCAAAAATCCCATTAGTGGCACATTTCAAATGGAGCTGAACCTGGGTTCGAATCAGGTTAAATTAAATAACTGTTTGTGATTGCAGGTACCCTGTTGTGATGTGGCAGGAGTTCATTTCCATTCCTAAATTCCTTTGAAGCAACTTTTTGATGAACCCACAGACACCTTCCGTTGAACAGCAGCTCTGCACACAAATTGTCTCCTTTGCTGAGCTCTGTTCCATAAACACTGGGCTCTCCTTCCCCTTCCCTCAGACAGTCACGGCTGGTCACTCCCTCTCCTGCTCCTGAGAGCTGGGGAGAATTGGTGATGTCCCTTAAAAGTGATGATTAACACCAACATAAAGAAAGATCTATTCTCCTGCAGACAGAATTATAGCTGGCTGTCAGTCTGGAATTTGTGAGGAGACTATTAAGGGGTTTTCAACCCTCTAAAGTTGTGACAATATTGTGACATAAAGTTCTAACAAAGATTTTTTGTTTTACAAACACCGTTTAACAGCCAGTTCTTAGCCTAATGACAGCTTATTAACTTCATGTGTGTTGTTTGACCTATAGTATGAAAGTGTATCTGTGTCTATTTAAAGTGTTTCAGTTATTTTAATATAAATGACAATTTTCTGTGACACCTGAAGTAAATCTTGTGCAAGTCTGTGATAGTAGCTGAATTTGTAACTCTCTAGATTTAGACACCAACCATAACTGAGCTCAGTGCAACCCTGGATTGGCAGAGAGAACTCATTGTTTGTGCCCAGGGTTGCTGTAAGTCAGACCTGGAGCCCCCACAGCTCCTGTGCAGCCAAAACCCAGACAGCTGTGCCCAACAGAATCTGGCAAACCTTTCTTTGTCACATTTTAGATGGAATGTGGTCTGTAAACTCTGTTACTTCCATCACCGTGGAACTGAATCAGCTTGCTTTCGAAGTCTATCCTGGGAATTGTGTGGATGTGTTGGAATAGCTTATGGTTGCATTACTCATCATCTCTGTTCAGAAGTAAATTAAAAATTGGTAAAAACAAGAACATGCTTTTCCAGTTCTGTTTTGGGATGTTGCTGAATTTTTACCCAATATTCCTGAATATTGCCATGGTCTTGATTTATACCTGGCTTTGCCTTCTGATGGGCAGGAGAGGTGAACAGTCTCCTCAGTGTGAAAGACAGTTCTCTTCAGTTCTATTCCCTCAAGCCACAACAACCAATTGATGTCAGTTACCTCAAAAGCCAATTAATCCCACTCCTGTTTTGTTGAATCAATACTAATGCATTTTCCCTGTAATTTTCAGGTTTTGACAACGCTGGATGCCAGCAAAGCTGAGGTAGGAAATCCTGTCTTATCCTGGTGGAATGTTAAATAGCTGTCTGCAGGTTTGAGAGAGGGGCCAGCTCGCTTACAGTTTTGGGGGTGAAAATTGAAGTTACTTCAGTTTGGCTTTTGTGTTGCTCCTAGTGTTTAATGAGGCAATCTTTGGGATTCTGGTCATGTTACAACAACTTTTAAGGTGATAAAGTCCTTCCAGGAAAGTTTTGTCACCGTGCAGGTCTCTCTGAAGATTTCCATGGCATTGAAACTGTGTAGATCAGAGGTTTGTTCAGCATGTGCTTTAATTTCCCACCCACAGAAGGTGGTTTTCTGAACTTTGCTCCATGCCCTTCCATATTTCTGCAAAGCTGGTATTGTTTCTACTCCAGAGTTGGTTCTGGGGGTTGCCCTGTGTTTTGTCCAACTCCATGTCTGGCTGGCCTCACTTTTCTGCTGCCATGTGCCATGAGCTGCTGGAATAGCCTGGGATATCAAAGAGAAGTTTTATTTTGGGACAGAATGACACCAGGGAGTTCTTGTTAAATGCTGGAGTGACATTGGTGGTATTTTATGTCGCCTGCCTTGGGTGCTTGACATTGCTGTAGTTTAGCTTGATTATTTTGGACTCTCATTTATTTTGTCAGCTTTTCTATTGAGGTGGGAGTAGTTTACGTGGTTTGAATGGTCTAATGGTCTTCTTAGAGGTGAAAATATTATTACTGGAGTATCTTTTGAATAACTGATTGCTAAAGCAAAAGTGTCAGTCCTTTGTGACCACTAACTGTTAGACTGCATTTGTCCCTTCTGAATGTTGCTGTTGAACAAGTCACTGCACTTTTAACAAGTGACAGATATTTTTATTCGTTGCACAGGCCCTGAGTCATTTAAATGTAATGTCAGTTGGAAGCTCAGAGTGTTCCTATATGAAACAGTTCTCGGACTCACAGTAGGGAATTTGTGATGTACTCCAAAGCTAATGTTTAACTGTGACAAAATGTCTAGGTGACTCTAACTGCTGGAGTCAGATAAATTTTTAATACAAACCTTTGGTAAATTAAATTGCATTATTAAAGAGAATAGATAAACTGTGCTAGTTACTTCAAAGAACAAGGACACAAGTTCACTTGCATACTGCAAAAGCATGAGATTATTCATTTTTATTTAGATTAAGACTGTAATATTAGCGTTCAATTTAGTTGATCTGATTCAATTGCATACTTGGCTTGTCTCGGGGAGTTTGGGGAGTAGGATTTGTGTCTGTTTTTTCCCTGTTGCACTTTTTAAATGCTTGGTGCTCTGATATCAGCAGAGCCCACTAATAAACAGTCACTTTCAGTTTCTTGTTCTGTAATGAGATTTTTGGGGGCTGAGATTTGTCATTGTAGAGGTACTACTACTGATTCTGCTCCCTTATATAAAGTCCGTTTCCTTATTTATTTGTAAGATGTTCTCATGTACTTTTTTATCTTGTGTGTATAAAATTCTGGGAATATTACAAGTTTCTGAGTCAGTCAGTTGAGTTGCTTTGTTTGTTGGTACTTTAATCATTTGAAAACCTTGAGTCAACACATTTGGTTGTTCTTTAAAACCATCCGCTGATGTTTGTGCTCCAGCCCATGGACTTTGTAGGTGCAGATCTGTCTGTAAGAGGTTATTGGTTGATGCTGCTCCTTCCATTCAGGTAAGTACTCAGAAGGAATACCAAAGTTCCCCAATACAGGGAAAATCCTAGTTGAAGGTAAAGGATAATTAAGTGCTTTCCTGAATCGGAGCCTTAGTGTTGTTTGGAAATCCTCTGACTGAACCGAGTGGAATAACTCACAGAAATAGCAACTAAAAAGGATAATAGGCATGCAGAACTGGCTGGTGATTGTTTTAGAGGGACAGTTTTCAGCTTCAGGGAAATGACTCCTTTGGAATGGCAAACTTCCCAAGATTTATTCCTGAGTCCTACACAGCACACTGTATATGAGGGATAACAGCACAGTTCTGGTGTATTTTTGAGGCCAACACACCTTAAATAACCTTGTGGATGACAAGACACAAAACATTTCCTCAGGTTTGATAAAAGTGGCTTTTTGTTTTGCCTGACTTTATTTTTATTTTGGGTCTTCATGAACAGTTCTGAGAAAGATAAACCCCCAAATCCCCTTGTTCTGGCTTACCTTTGCATCATGTCTTATCTCATTAGAGCTCCTGTGTTGTTTGCTGCTGTAGGGTTTGTGTCATAAGATCTCTAGTCTGCTTTTGAATAAAAAAAGTGCTTGTGTTTACTTTCTAAAATCTTTTATTAGAACTGCTGTTTGGTTGTTCTTGAACTGTTGATCCAAGTAGTCTTGAAATTTGTTTGTTCCTTTTTTTTTTGTTGTTCTTAGGTGACATAGCTGTGTTCTCTTACTGAATTTTGTATGAAGTCTGGGTGAAAATTAACATGTTTGTGTTACTATTGAGTGGTTTAGGAAGATACAAACCAGTCAGGGCTTTTTTTTCCAAATGCTGGTTGCCACATACCAGGTGTAGAGAAACAAGTTCATCTAGAGGAAGCTGACAAGTGATCCCAAGACCTTCCTTCCATCTTTTAACACAAAAGGGCAACAAATAGTGACAGAGTTAAAGCTGTAGGCAGCAAAGCCTTCCAAAAATAATTGCCAAATCTGCCTGCACTGTGTCTTGAAGTGTCATAGTCTTGTAAATATGCAAGTTAGAGGCATCTTAAAAAGGGAAAAACTTGTGCATAGGTAGTCAGATAGGAAGATTTTAATCACAAGTTACCCTGGTTTCTTGTCAAAAATGTAGCAGATCCTGAAAATGTCATTACAAAATGGGCCTGAGAACAGCCTCTAATAAAATCATACACGATATCATAATTTTTTCATGTAATTCCCTGGAACAACATGGTTTGAAGAATGACTTTCTTTCAGTTCTGCTTTGTCTAATACAGGTATATAGCATCTAATCCTTTTATTGCTGTTTGTATGTATATTTTTCCCCATCAAAAGATGTCTCACCAAACTATGTCATTTTCTAGAGTGTTCTTTCTAATTAGCTGTTAGTACAAATAATCTTTCTGTTGGGGAAAGCATAATTTCTTTTCCTCTTTCTGAGACAATTGATGTTACTGAAATAGAGCACAGAAGGCTGCTTGTGATTCCCGTTTTTCTCTGCAGTATTTGAATAAATGACACAGTGAAGTTCAAGGCCTTCTTGTGAGAAGTGAGAGGTCATGCCTGATTGAAATACAAGTTCAGTATAACTGTGTGTTAGCTCTCTGCCTGCTTTTATGTGAGGGATGTCAAGGCAGCCTATTTTTTACTCTCATAAGAAAAGCCTGCCTATATGTCTCAATAAAACCGGGAATCAAAATCAGCTCAAAGCCAAGGAGGGCATTAAATCAGAGTTTACAGAAAACCTCAGAGTGGTGAGCAGACTGTGGCTCTAATGATAGCAACGGTGTGACTGATTTATGCTGTGATCCATAAGGTCCCTGATTATCAGGAAATGTCATTTTTAAGTCCCCCACTTCCCTCCCACGGCAGGAATAGGTCAGGCCTGGGGAGCAGCGTGCCTTGGAAAAGGCCAACCCGTGTTTTCCCTTCAGCCGCCCTTCGCTGCTCCGTGGGAAGGAGGGGGGGCTGGAGAGAGGAGAAAAATCCTCTGACAGGACAGAGACAGACAATTCTCATCGATTTTTTTTTTGCTTGTAAAATGTTTATGAAAAATCCCATGTGCTCATGGTGCTGCGGGAATCTGCTGGCGGGAGCGACCTGAGCGATGCGCACGCGAGGTGTCTCGGGCAGATCCGCCGTGCAGGGGGGTCGTGGGGCTGATATTATCGTGGATTTTTGGGCCTTACACCAACCCCTGGATCCCCAGCTGGGCTCCCAGCCTTGCAGCTCATGGGCAGGCACATGTCACACACCATTTCCCAGCTCTGAGCCACTTGTGCAGGTAAAACATAAAACACTCACTGGCTCGAGCGAAATGAAGAAAATCTCGTGGCAGAGCTGGGCAGTTCACTGCCAGCAGGAGCACACTGCTTGTGTTGCCTGGGTGTGCTGGTTTAAAGGTAAACCGGCAGGGGAAATGAACTCAACTCAAAGGAGAGATTATAAGTCAAAATAACAATTTGATAAAATAATACTAAAAATACGATTATACAGACAAGCAGTTGTTTTTAACCCACACAACCCAAATGCATAACCCAGCACCCTGGGGCATGAACTGAGTGGTGTTTGTTGGGCCCCCTGAGTCCAAAGTAAAGGGAGAGGGGGAAAACCTGTTGGTGAGAGTGCTGGTGCAGTCTGGTCGAGGGTGGTGATTGCAGTCCGGTCGAGGGTGGTGGTCTCAGTCTGGTTGAGAGTGGTGATCTGCAGTCTTCCTCTGGATCCCACGAGTGGTTATAAAAGTCCCAAGACTCCAAGATTATATACCCTCCAGTTCAGGCAGGAATGCCCAGCACTTCCCTCAGGGCGGGGAGCTCCACAAAGGGTGTGAGGACAAGAGCATTCTCCTATCTCACAGGCCTCTTAACACCCAGTTTATAGCCTGAGGAGTCAGGCTCTATGGGCAGAGGGTGTAAATGGTCTATTGGTAACAGTTTCTGGGCAATGGCATGGAAGGCTATAGAATACACAGTTTTGGGTCACACCCATCCAGTGATGAACTGGTCCCAGCTGTTCTAACTAGGACACACACCATTTCCCAGCTCTGAGGCACTTGTGCAGGTAAAACATAAAACACTCTCTGGCTCGAGCGAAATGAAGAAAATCTTGTGGCAGAGCTGGGCAGTTCACTGCCAGCAGGAGCACACTGCTTGTGTTGCCTGTGTTTAATGCCAGAATGAACTAATTCATTTTTGAAAAGGAGTGTGTTTAAACAGATAGCAGAACTTGCTCAGAAAATATGCCTCTACCAGCACTGTTCTACTATTACTGGTTGGATAGTTTGCAGCGTGCTCTCTTCCTGGTAGAATCACAATTCTTTCTGCTGCTCTATGAGTAATTTTTAAATCCTGTT